CCCTAGGTTTATCAATTTTTATTTTCATTTTTTAAAATATTTATTTATTGAGAGAGAGAGAGAGCTCGTGAGCAGGGGGAGGGGAAGAGAGAGAGGGAGAGAGAATCTCAAACAGACTCCCTGCTGAGCATGGAGCCCCGTGTAGGGCTCAATCTCACGACCCTGAGATCACAACCTAAGCTGAAATCAAGAGTCGGATGTTTAACTGACTGAGCTACCCAGGTGCCCCAGGTTTATACATTTTTAAATGAAAGAATTCAATGTTCCTATTTAATATCCTATACCTAGAAAAAAAATATATATCCTATACCTAGAGATTAGGTAAGTCCCTGAAAGGGAAATGTATGACATTTGGCCAATATTTGTGCATTCCATTTGCCAAATATATGCCAGAATATGCCAGAGTCCACAAACTAATGTCCAGTTCACAGCAGCATGAGGGCCAACAACCCAATGGCCCAACAACCTATGGGCCTACGTACGTAGACACAGCCCCACAGCTCACTCAAAGTGTCTCTCTATAAATCTTTGTCATCTTACCTCCATATTGACGGTTTCTGTTTTCTGGCAGAAGTGCTGCCTGATAGTGTGGGTGCAGTCAGGCCTCAACCCTAACACCCACATCTGACTGCCTTTCCATCTCAACACTGAATATAGCATCTCTCACAGAAACTTTACTAATGCTGATGAAAATTACCAGAAACTGATTCAGAAGAGCATGAGGGCATTAAATGAACTGAAGCAGCTGAAATTCACAAAGAAGGGATGTGTGAATAATGTCCAAGCCATGCAACAAATAATCCTATTTGCAATTACTCTCACTGGAGGACTATGGAGCCAAATGTTACATCCTACATGCAACCAGCAGCTGAGGCCTAAGGAAACCGAAAGGCTCTAACGATCTATTTGCCTCCTACAGAAACAAGGAGACAGCTGACCAATGCTTGTAATTAGCTTTTCTTCTTTAAAAAAGAGCCAGTACAATTGGAAGCCGCAGACTAACTCAACACTTTTATTCCTCGAGAAGTAACTCTCACATTTTTAAAAAATTTTTGAAGGTTACTATGTAATTAGCCGCACTGTAGCGTTTATTAAGTTCTTAGAGCTTGAAAAGTTTATTTTTAAAACCACAAGTGCTAAGTTTAATTAAACTTGTCAAATGCAGGAACAACTTGATGGGATAGAGGCAAATGACTGGACGCAAAAATGGCAAACCTATACTCACTTGTTGTGATGCTTTCCAGATGAGCCACCGTTAGTTACGGCCACTATACGAGATACCACCATGGACTAGTATCGATTGGTAATTCTTAGGATCCTGAAAATGTATTCTGTGTTTTGAGTAAAACTTTATTTAACAGAACTGCTGACTGAATATGAGCACATAAATAATCCAGGCCACTGGATCTTTTTTCTCACGTTGATGAACATTACAAACACAAAAGAAATATACGATATAGTATTTTAGAGATTGTGCATAATTCTTCGTGCGTTCCTTATAAAAATACTTTGGAGAATATGCAGATAAATCACAGAACCTTAGAGACAGCTGGAGTCCTATAGTAGTAGCCACAATGCTTATAGTGGAAGCAACAAATGGCTACTGAAGCTGAAGGCCCTGGTCAAGTTTCCACAGCTAGAGGGCGGGAAGATGGGAGAACACCCTGGGCTTTCTCACTACGAATCCACCTGATGCCATCGACCATGCATTAGAAGGGAAATTCTCAACCCCTATTCTGTGATACTTGGCTGAGTGTTGGTACATAAGCAATTATGAACCCACCATCTGTATTTGACCTCTTTCTTTCACACTTATACTAGAATAATGGGTTGCCAGTGATAAATCCGAATATTTTCTACTTTATTTTTACAATCAGCAAAAACAACAACAAAGTAGAACACCGTATATTTGGCACTGGGGAAACTATATTTAGTTTTTCATTTTTTCATTCAATAAGTAAGGCAAGCATGGGTCTAGGGGCTGGGAATGCATCAATAAAAATAAAATAGACAAAAATCCCTGCCCTCATAGAGTTTACATTCCAATGGAGAAAATGGACATTGAACAAGATGGACCAGTGGATTACTTAGAGCATCACCTGTGGTAAAGGCATTGGAGAAAAATAATGCAGGAAAAGAAGATGGGGAGGCCATTTAAGTATGGTTATCAAGACTGGACTCACTGACAAGGTGACCTCTGCCAGAGGGACACAAGGGGGAGGTAGTGTGTGTGTATCTGGGCTGGATTTGGGCTGGGGGACTGCTGCACTGCTTTCAGCAGAGAAAAATGCCAAATGCAAAGGCCATGTGCTGGGAGCATTTTCTACAAAAAGCAAAGCATCTTCTATGCTGGAGCAAAGTGGGCAAGAGGGAAGACGTAGGAAATGTGGGAGAGACAGGAGTGGTAGGGGGCACTTCACCAAGGGGCTTCAGCAACTGCATGGCCTTTGACTTTGACTCTACATAGAGTAGTGACATGATGGCATTTCTGTTTTCAAAGGAATTCTCTGGCTACTATTTAGAAATTATCCTTACAGTCATTCTTTAACAGTTACATCATGCAAGTCACTTAACCTTTCTTCATCTCAGGTTGGGAGGATGAATTACCGTATTTTAAGGCACTGTATAAAGTACAGCGCTGTGGCATGCTCTCCTTGACCATGACTCCATTAAAGCAGGTATTTTACTGTGTTACAGTTAGGAGTTCTCATATCTGCATCCCCACTAGATTTTTTAGTTCATGGAGACTCCAGGGAATACCTCTTTCCATTCTGGTACATGGCATAAATTAGTACAAAGGAGGGTCTCAACAAGGATTTGCTGAATATAAGGTACAGCAAGATAGAAGAATTACAAAAGAGCTCTAAATCAGAATTCACAGGTTAATAAGCTTCTTGTAGAAACACAAACACAAAGCCTTGTTCCTAAACCATTTGAACTGGAAATTTTGGTCAAATGTATTAGCTGTAATTTTGTAACCTATCAATACAATCCTGAGTTGGGCCCATCCTGGAATTGTCTGGGAATGTGTATATATATAAATTTTTTCACAACGAAAACTATTCTTTTCTTAACCATGTGCATAAAAACTTATGAATAAAATAGTCCAGGAAAGTTTTTGCAACTTGGCCTTTGAATATCCTCAAAATGCATATTTCTTTTAAATCACATTTTGTTTGATCTCTGCTTATACGCTTTAGGATGGCCTCTGAAGGACCCAATTTAGTATGTTGTCAGACGCATTCACATCATATAAATACTTGGATTAAAAAACAAATTTAAAAATAGTTTAAATTTTCTTCCGATATGAAATATTTATACTCATTTATATGAAATGAAATATTTATATTCGTTTATATTCAGCAATGTGAGATAATGGGCAATCACACCATGGAGTTAGTTAACTTGTTATTTGTTTAAAAACTATTTGGGTCACATGCATATACTGTGCCCTATAGTTTGAAGACTTAATGTCTCTTGAATCCATGACATCGATGTTCCACAAAGTGTGAGTGCCTAGGTACTGTATTGCCCAAGTGAAGCTTCAAGGTCAATTACCTTTACATTTAGGCAGTGTTATTAAATAATGATCAAGGCATGGAAAACACTTTCAAAGGTCAAAATTTTCTTTAGTAGCTATTCTCAATGGATATCTTTGAGGTTTGCATCCATCACTTAAAAATGAAAAGATTTCTTAGCTTTAATATGATCAAAATACACTCTTAACTTTAATTAACTGAAATATTTACTAAGAGGCACCCCCAGAGTATATTCAAGTCTTTGTTAGCTTCTTTAAAATAAATCATACCCATGCAAGTCAATTAAAATATTAAAACACATGTCATAACATGCTCCTGATAAAAATAATTCTTTATGTCAACTTGGTCATTATTTGCCCTCAGCATCTGAGTTACAAATTAATTCAAATTTCAAATAGTATTAATCAAGTAGAAATTCTATCTTGTGATTGTCACAATTAAGTTGGAAATCATTCTGTTGCTCTTACCATCCATTTGAAAACACTAAAGATAAAAACCTAAAGACTTTCTGAGTCCTCATTCCATTTTACTTTACTCACAATTCTACAGTGTACGCATATCTCATAAATATACAGCAATCTAACATACAATTCCCACAGACTGTCACCTGTTAAATCCCCCAGCTCTCTGAAATCCATTTGTTTCTTTCACCTGTTGAGTACACAAATTCTAGCGGCAGAAGAGTGAAATCTACGAAGTCATTGTAAATTTTGGTCAATGATTCTCTCAGTGAGTTATGTGAATAAAAGCAATCTGGAAATACTTGTATGGTAAACGTTTTCTATAATTACGGGATTTGTGCATCCCATTTACACCATTTAGAATGATCAAAACATGCAATTATTGTATTCCAGTTCTTGTAATATAAAGCTCATCACTGAGAACCAAATACTCTCTTAAGACAGGGAATGCAATGCAACAAGTTAGACTATCCAATACACTGAATTTTTAGTTACTTTACATAGTGACACTGGCTGGGTGATTTTTACGCCTTTACTCTCAATGACTAATTTATTTCTGAGTGAGGTTCTCCATTTAATTGTGTGCCAAAGGGGGAAAAATAAAGAGGCCCACAATTTCCAAGTCAACTTTTAATTACTTAATTCTCAATTATAAACGGGTACTTTCATGAAATCTAAAGGATGTATCTATGACACACCAGGTTTTACTAAAAACAATTATTAAGCAGTTATAATGGTTAGCTGATAGAAAAACAGCACATGGATCCTTACAACCGCATTCTGTTGAATTAGATAATTTGGCTTTTACGATTTCAACATTAATACACTGAATAAACTGACTGGCAACCATGAGGCCAGAGATAAATTCCACCTGTGTTTTCCACACATAACTCTCAACCTGCAGTTTTAAAACGCTAGCTAAAAATCATCACACAAACAACATCAAGAATGAAAGCATTTAAAAAAAAACACGTTCCGTTTTCACTTTTTTCTCTTTTACCTTGGGAAACAAATGGTCCTCAAATACTTCAAAACTGTAGTCCAGGCCAACAAGTGGACTAGTCACAAAGATGAGGGGTTACTTTTCCCTCCTTCCTGGGAAGCCGTGCTGGGGTTCCAGGCGCTCCCCCACCTGCTCCTCCCTCCCAGAACCAGGGCTAAAAGGAACCCCAGAGGAGCTCAAAAATCACGAAGGGAGTAGAAGACTGGTCTCGAAAAAGTCAGGATGCCGAATTATCATAGTTTAATTTCTTCTTTCACTCACAAACTGTTGAAGAGAAAGCCAAGCAAGACGCATCAGAGACACCACAAGCCTAGTTGTAGCCGTCTTAAAAGAGAAAAGAATTGAGTTCAGCCAGGCACAAAGGTCTCCATGGCAACGGTGAATTTAGACCCCCATCGGCATTATTTATGCAACATTTCATCACAAAAGGACCCTCCCACTAGCCTGCCTAGCAAATTCTAGTTTTCTGATCTTCCATTCCTTTGCCCTAAATCTGTATCTGGATCCTTAGCTATTTGCGGACCTCAACATTAAAGAAAAAATAAAGAAAAACCCACAGAATCATAAAATTAGTCTCAGACTGAATCTAGACTTTGTTTCCTTGGTGAATTCAAAGGCAAGACATAGATTCGAGATTGCTTAGAGTTCAGACTCAAAGCTGGTCTAGTTTTTATTTCAAAAGGGACAGTTTGGAAAACATAAGCTTATTCAAATTATTTTATTTTTGAAAGGAGATTGCAATTCATAAGAAATACAAAATATGGCAAACTCTAGCAAACCCAAAGGCTTACAGAGAAGAGAACTTGTCCAGATGCTGACTTTAAAGCTAAATTTTATATGCTAACATCCACCCCTACCCACTCCCAGCCATTACACTACCTCAAAAAACTCTTTTGAGTCTTTCCCTTGATTCTACTTTAGCCACAATTTCCATGTATTTTAAAGCCATTTTTATCACCCGTGTGTCCAATGGACCCTAGGTCCACATTTTATAACTAGATGATCTAGGGCAAGTTATTTAAAACAGAGATAGCACCCCGATATAATGATGTACTATATTAACAAGATGTTATCCTACTGAAGTACTTTCTTCAATTCTAAAACAATATACAACTATAATTGTTAGGATAAAACTTGATGATGCTGAAAGGAAACGCTGGGAGTCCTCGTTTGAAAAGGATTGTCCTTGGTGTTAGCTCAAATAAGAACTAAACAAGGTGACTTTTAAAACCTAGGTTTTGATTATTTTTAAAACAGGATAAGCTTCTTATTAAAAATTCAAACAGTACCTACTTTTATAAAGGGTAGTTCTTATCCCATACCCTCCCCACACCAATCTCATTTAATATAGTTGTATGTCTAGACCTAAATCATGCACCTTGATCTAAGTCCTGATTGACTCAATGTTGTCTTTTTTTTTTTTTTTTTTTTTAGAGAGAGAATGAGAGACAGAGAGCACGAGAGGGGGAGGGTCAGAGGGAGAAGCAGACTCCCTGCTGAGCAGGGAGCCCGATGTGGGACTCGATCCCGGGACTCCAGGATCATGACCTGAGCCGAAGGCAGTTGCCTAACCAACTGAGCCACCCAGGCGCCCCGACTCAATGTTGTCTTTAACACAGTTTGCAAGAATGGCTCATGGATGCCCGTATTTTCTGTCAGTGCATATTTGATAAGATTTTCTGTTACCTGCAGCATAGGCAAATATCCATGCCTCCTGGGGGCATTGCTCTCCCAAAACTGGGTGTTCCTGGTGCCTCCAGAAGCACCGTTGACCTTCATTTTCCATAAGGACGCACCCTGACTAGCACAACTCATGGCTCTATGTGGACGGTTATACAATTTTTGTGAATATATCATTCAGATACCTTCTGACACTGAAAACTGAAGAAGAGAATTAAAAAGCAGGTTAACATTACTCTCTTTTAAGAAAAGAGTTCTCCAGGCAAGAACAACAACCACCCCCACGTTAGTTCCCAGTTTTCTCTCTTCCATATCCATCACCTTCTTTTTTTGTTGCTTTTGTTGTCTTTTTTTCCCCCCTCTTCTGTTTTATTTCCTCATACCAGTCCTGTTTATTTCTGCAATACTGATGCTTCTTCATGACTTTAATGTGGTTTCATTTAAGCAATGGATTTACTTCTTCCTATTTTTCCATCAGTGTTGTCTACTCTTATTATTCCTTTCTTGACTTCTTTGTCTTATCATTTCTTTGATTTCATTTTTTTTTCATGATTCTAACTTTATTCAGGCTATAAACAATATTATGGCTAATGTTCTCTTATATTACTTGGGGGGTAATTTAATTTTCCTGAAGTTACATTTTCTCTGCGTTTTGTATATTACTGTTACTTTCTTCTCTTTCTGATTTCTTTGTTTTCTACTTTTTTGCGATAGTGTCAATCCACTGTCTTATATTTAAACCCTTCAATTTATGATTTCCTTGGGAATTCCGGCAACGGCACCTTGGCTTGGCTTTTGCTTAATTACAGATTGAGGAGGAGCGGGGTGTGGAGTATGAGTGAAGCGAAGGTTAAAGATGCCATGCTTGTAACATCTCCCATTTCAACATGATTCTCTCTTGTTGGGAGTTTGTCCTCCACAGGGCTTCCTGTGTCTCTGTGTCCCCTCATGTCTTCAGAGCTCAGTGTTCCAGGGAAGGTCTGAGTCATGGCCGTCACTTCTTCCCTCCTCTTCTTCCCTCCCACTCTTCCATATTTCCATCTTTCCTTCTTCTTTTTTAAATTTTATTTATTTTTAAAGATTTTATTTATTTTTTGGAGCGAGAGAGGGAGAAAGCACAAGCAGGGGGGTAGCAGCAGGCAGAGGGAGAAACAGGCTCTCTGCTGAGCAAGGATCCCGGGACCCTGGGATCATGACCTGAGCCGAAGGCAGATGCTTAACTAACTGAGCTTTTTTTAAAAATGAAATTTATACAATGTATGATACCTGAAAAGTGATAGATATGAGTTTGTGGCCAATTCTGTTCCTATTATTTTGTAATTGGAACTATATTACTAATTTATTGCATTTTTGGTTGATTTTACTGTTTCCAGAAAATAAACAGAATAAACTGAACACTGTGGAATATCCATAATAAATAAACTAAATCCTAAGAAGGCCTAAATATGTGTCTTTCATAAAATTCAACAGTATTCATAATTTAAAAAGCAATCTTTGCAAACTAGGCATCGAGAGGAATTCCTTCAATTTGATAATGAAAAAAAAAAACCTACCTAAAAATTACAATCAGAGTTAAATATTGAAAACTTCTTAGAGATGTTATTCACTACTATCATCACTTTTATTTACCATTGCACTGGAGGTCTTCAGCAATAAAGTAAAAACAAAAAGCCAATGTACAAAAACATCAATTTTCTTTCTGGTATCAGCAATAAAGAAATTAAAACAACAATAACATTTACAAATAACACAGAAAAACATCCAATACCTAGGAATAAATCCATGTGAAGGTGATATAAGACCTCCTCACTAAACACTACATGACACTATTGAAATTAAAGCAGACCCAAATGATGGTATTACAGAAATATACCATGCTATGGTTGGCAGATTTAATATTGTAAAGATTTCAACCTCCTTGGATTAATTAATAGGTTTAATAGTATTCTAATCCAAACCTGGGCATGCTGGTTTTTTCTGGGCTGGGAGGGGCTGAGATAATGGATAGTGGATTCTAAAGTTTACATGAAAATGCAAAGGGCCAAGAAGAGCAAGTGGTTTTGAAGGAAAGTAACAAAGCTAGAGACTGAACCTACAGGTAAGAGGGCACATTACAGAGCAGCAGTAGTTAAGACCATAGGGCATCCATTTAAGAAGAATCCAGTAGAACGTAGATCAGGAGAGAATTATGACACCAAATCACACTTATATCTAATTTATGAGAACCGTGGAACTGCCACACAGTGGGAAGATGGTGCTTTCACCAGAGTGAAATGATATCTGGTGAAAAATGCACCTTGACTCCATCTCAAAAAATATACAAAAATCAATGCCATATGCAGCATCAGTCTAGATGTGAAAGACTAAACAGTAAAGCTTTGACAGTAAAATATGGAACACATGCATGGCCTTAAAGGAACCAAGGCTTTCTTAAGCAGGATGAAAAAGTGCTAACCATAAGAGGAATTAAAAAGGCATAAATTGGGCCATTGTGAAATTGGGAAACCCTGCTTATCAAGATGCCATCGAGAAAGGGAAGGGGCACTGGTAGGAAAAATATTCTCATTCTCATGTGTGTCTGTGTATATATCTACATCTATATATCTATATCATCAACAAAAATCCAAAATGCAGCATATGATAGGCAACCCAATATTAACAAGGTCAAAATATGTGAACAAGCACTTCACAGAAGAGGCTATCCACACAGGCAATAAACAAATGAAAAGATGATCGGCTTTATTACTCATAAGGGATATGCAAATCTGAGATCTTCGTGGAATGCCAATTCACACTCATTAGAATGGTTAAAGTAAAAAAGAGAGGAAACAAAATGCCAAATACTGACAAATATCAGGTATTATCAGAACTTTCAGAGACTGTGAGTGGAACTGTGAGACGGTAAAACTAATTTGATGTTTTTCAATCTCTTCTACCGCTCTTCATGTGCATCCTATATGTCTCAGAAATTCTACTCCTAGGTATACACTCAACAGAAAGGTGCACATAACTACACCAGAGACATCTGCTATGATGCTCGTACCAGGAAAATTTGTATCAGCCCCAAATGGACGCTACTGACATGCCCCAGAACAAGAATAAATGTAGTATGGTATCTGTGCACAATGAGATACTACTCAGCAAAAAAAATAAACCAATAACCAAACACAGTGTACAGCTGAGTCTTACAGACATGATCTTGAGCAAGTTGTACTTCATGATGCATGTACTTTTCTGAATGTATATTATTCTTAAAAAAAAAAGTCCTAAATTATTTTCAATCCTAGATATCAGGCATGAATGAAAACAGGAACATTATTTACCTACTAATGTTCTTGAGTTTCTAAAAAAAAAAAAAAAAATACCATTTCGACCTCAGAGGTTTCCAGCAATATTCTTACCAATTTCTTTTAAATGAAAAAAAAAATTTTTAAGTCTTACAAAATAAAAGTAGAACTAAAGAATGAAGAAGGAATCACTGATGCGGCATCATCAGTTTTAAAGTAATTCACTATGTTGTGCCCTTCTACACAAACGATCTAATTTCTTGGGCCAAAAAGAAAGAAACTGCATTAAAATACTCCAAGAATTTTAATGTTCTGGCCACTTTTGCCTACTAACACTGACAGCAAGATAA